CTACTGACAACAGTATGTCATAATACAGCACGGTACATTCTGTGGTGATGCTAGCGTAAACAAACCTACTAGTCATATAAAAGTGCAGAACATAACATTCTGTACAGTACCCAATACTTGATAATCAACAACTGTTCCTGGATAAGAAACAACTGCTCATGTATCACTACACTAATTATTACTACTTTAGAGAACACTCTGTGTGACGCAACAGGCAGGAACTTCAAAAAGTTCATGAAAAAGGGAAATTACAGTAAAAGTTTAGGGCCAGATCCTTGGAGCAGCAGTAATGCAGTTCTCAGAAGAAGCCAGATCCTATGTGGTGACTGCAGTTCACATCACCAGCCTGGTCAGCCTGGAACATGCCGAGTGCATGTGTGAGTGTCCGAGACCTGCCAGGTTAGAGCACTGGAAGTGATCACAGAGAGACCAAACCCTGTGGAGAGAGTCTCTCTCTCTCACTCTCACTCTCTCCCCCTTACAAGCACGCATAAATAATAACTAAAGAAATAAATTTAAATTAAAAAAAAAAGTGAGTTTATTTTGGTGCAAAAACTTCTGAAATTCATGCGGTTTTGTCATAATTCACATTTTCCATAAGCACTATGAAAGCCCTTATATCTCATAGTCGGCTTACCCCTGATCACACCAGTTTCTCTTTTACTTGATTTAATTTCATGTTGTTTTGCTCATCATGGCCTTTCCAGTGGGATAATGCGTGGACGTGGAAGGCAATGATACTGATGATCCTGATGCTTTGCAGGCCTAGGCCCCTATAAGTGTCTGTGTCTTAGTTTTAACAAAAACGTTTAAAAAGGGGACAGGAGGTGGCACAGTAGGCACACAAATAGATCCACATGACAAAGGCCCTGGGTTCACATCCTGGGACCTCCTTGAGCATGCCTGGTTTGTGTGCATAATGTACGCCCACGATCCAGGCAGCTGAGACTGGGAGTCAGTTGTGGTGTAAAGATCCTGTGGGGAGTACCTATTCTCTCTCCCTCCCTCTTCTTTATATTTCTCAGAAGAAATAAACTTTTAAAAAAATTACAAGTTTAAAAAAAGTTTTTAAAACAGAAAACAATGTATAAAATAAGGACAGATAGAAAATATTCTTATACAGCTTTACAGCACATTTGTGTTTTAAAGCTAAGTACAAGAGTCAAAAGTTAAAAGGAAGCAAGCTCCACAGTGTGGTGGTGAAGGGAACCAGATCCTACATGGCCTCCTGTGTGGTCTGAATCCCAGCTCTGGCAATGGCAGTTTGAAAGAAATGCAAAGGCACATGTGCACATGGGCCCCAAATCCCAGCGGGGTGGAGAAACCGAGAAGGGACTGCAGCATGGCCACATCCCATTGGGGAGTGATTTTTCTCCCCCTCTCGGTCTTTCTCTGAGAAGCACACATACCCTCTGGCAAATTTTAAAAAACAAATAAGCAAAAAAGGTCTCTAAACCTCTACTCCTAGTAAGTACCATATACTAATATACCACTTTTTATCTGTCAGACTGTATTTTCACTGTACCTTTTCTAGACTTAGATACACAAATTCTTACCGATGTGTTGCAGCTGTCCACAGTATTCGGTACAGTAACGTGCTGGACTGGTTTGTTACCTAGGAACAACTGGCTGCTTCAGACAGCTCTGGTGTGAAGTAGACTATACCACCTACGTTTGTGTGAGCACACTCTACAATGTTCATGTAACAAGAATCACCTAACCACACAGTTCTCAGAATGTCTCCCTGCTGTGAATCGATGCATGCTGCACTGTAGTCATAAAAACAAAAACTCATTTGGAGGGGCCCAGGCAGTGTGCAGAGGTAACACAGAAGGAGAGGTCCAAGGTTTCCATCCAAAGACCTAAGCTAGGTGCACACATTCCCTTGACCTGGGACAGTTGAGACTGAGAGTAGATCTTTGATCAATTGGGGTTATTTTTTTCTCTCTCTCATAGAAAAATGAATAAACTTTTTAAAAAAGTTCATTTGTAAGTTCTTTAAATACTAATATAGAATGGTAGCCAAAATACACCACTAAGTAAAATAAAACAGTATTTATGTTTTCATTTTTTATAAGAGAAGGCAAACAGAATAGGAGGGGGAAGAAGAACAGAAAAAATAAATAACTGTCCAAATTTGATACCTTCGAGGGAACCTTGATGTCTGGGAGAAGTGGGAAAGATTTTTTCTTTTTAAGAGAGATTTTTGCTATAGGGTGTGTGCATTCACTGGAGGAAGAGACAGACACATATAGAAAGTGAAAAAGCACCCCTAAGTGTGATTTTGGGCATGCATGCACACGCACCTGTCACGAGTTTTAAGCCACTGGGTCTAGGACTTAAAATGAAATAGACTAAGTGGGAGTCCAGTGACGTAACCATTATGCCATCTGCTGGTCCCTGAGAAAGATTTTGTTTTTTACTGAGTATGTCTTTGAACATTTCAAATTTGGAATCACATGACTGTATTCCCCATTTTTACGTTAAAGAATAATAAATATTTATTATAAAATTCACACTGTATACTCCTCTAAATACTATATGCAAACAAAAGCTGCCATTTTATTTACCTTTTTAAACTTAGCAATCTTTAAAAAAAAAACAAACTATAATCCTACCTAAGGCACATGTTTGTTTGTCTTCTTAGACAGTTTTGCTATAGGATGCATGCACTCCCCAAAGAGACAGAGAAAGAGAGAAATCACCCCCCAGGTGGCGGGGAGCGGGTAATAGCTATGCTGCAGCCCCTTCTACTCCATTCTCCTCTCTGGATTTTAGGCATGCATGTGCACACAGTAGGCATGAGTTTCAAGCCTAGGACTTGAACCATAGTCTGCCATGTGGAAGTTCAACACCTTAACCACTACACTACCTGCTGGCCCCAACGCACAAATTTTTGATGCTGAATGTTCTTCAATTTGTCTCAACTAGCTAAATTTTCTTTTGTGAAATAACTGTTCTTAGCATTTCAAGAAAAATTATGAAATTGATCAATATTCCATTTAATTCTAAGATTAGTATCTAAAGTTAATATATAAATAAAACTATCTTTATTATATTAAATTGGCCACAGAACTTTCCAAAAAACTTACCTCTTTTTGCACTTGCTCAATCTGTTTTTTGGCATCAGTCATTTTCTCTTTCAGCTCAGTATAAGCTTCTTCTTTCCTCTGAAGATCTGCTTTCAAATTCTGGGTAAGAGTAGAGCTTGCAGAGAGTTCTTCTTTCAACCTACAAAATATAAACAACTCTTCTATAGTGCTGTACCATTAATTACTTAGCATCTTATGTATAAACTGGTTATAATCTTTAAAAAATTACATCATTTCACAGATCTGCAATGTGTAAAAACTATGAACGAATCCTTCAGAAAGCATTTCAGGTGATTCGTATAAGAACTTTCTATTTGAGTTTTGGTTACAAAGGTTCATTCGTGCAAAATTCATGTTCCTTGCTCACACATGCTACATTTTACCAGATTAAGTTATGACCATTTAATTGTTTAAAAGCTACACAGCACAATGAATGCTTTGCATTTTTCTAAATATTTTAAAGAATATTTAGCTTACTTTTCTGTTTCTTGTCTGTAGGTTTCTTTTTCTTCTTCAAATAATTTAAGTGAATGAGTCACTTCTTGCAAATTACTCCTTAATTGTGTGATTTCTCCTTTCAAATTAACTTCCTTTTCACTTAATTCCTTGGCATTTTTGATAGAGTCCTGAAGATTCACTTGTAATTCCTTTAGATTTATTTCTAGCTTTAAGATGGTTGATTCCTTTTCCAAAATATCTTCTTCTAGCTTGGCTGAACGTGTACACTCATCTTTCTGAGTCTCTAAGATTGTTTCCAGTTCCTTTATTTTCTCCTTATAAGAAGTGACGTTTAGTTCAAGTTCAGAAAGTACTCTCTTTCCTTCAACTATGTGCTGTTCTTGAACACCAAGACGAAGGCTTTTTTCTTGCAGTTCTTCTTTCAACTGCTGTATAAGACTTTCTTTTTCTTTGAGTAGGTCACTTTGCTGTTCGTGCTTCCTTTCCTCTATTTTTAGTTTACTGTTTTCATCCTTCAGGCCTTCTACTTCTGCCTGTAATTTTTCAATCTCTTGTTCCAGGTCCTGGATCTGATGGCTTTTTTTGGAGGAAGCCTTCACAATCTCCTTACATTCTTCCCAAATAGCTTCAATACTAGAGTGGAAAGAACTTTCTCTACTGAGTTCTTGAACATGATAGTCTTTAAACTGCTTACTTCCCAAATAATCATTACCTAAAATATGTAATTGTGGATTTGGCAAATTATCCTCCTGATAACCATTTCTTAGATCCCTGGGATTGAATAAATCTATGTTTGAGATCTGAGAAACCGAATCAACTGTACGTAGTTCATCAATTTTTATCTGCATTAATTTTATTTGTGATATATTATTTGTGATGCTTCTTGTAGCTGCTTCTATTTCCTCTGACAATTTCATAATCTTTTCCTCCTGTTCTTGATTTACACCCTTCTGCACCTGTAACTCAGCAATTGCACTGTCATAATTTGACTGAATTTGTTGGACATCTATATTTAAACTTAAGATCTTTTTCTCGGAAAAAGAAAGTTCCTGCTGCAAACTAACGATCTGTTTATTTAATTCTGCTTTTTCTTCCTTTTCATTTTTAAGTTTATTCTCAGCAATGAGTAAAAGCATTTTCAGCTCTTCATTATTTTCTTTGAAAACTTCAATGTCTTCTTTGTCTTCTGAAATACTCAGATGCATTTCTTCACTTTTCTTTCGGTCTTCATTGATAATTGAGCTAACATGTATATGTCCTTTAAAAATAAGAAAATTGTTACTAATCTGGCAAACCTTAACAACATAAAAAATTACCCTCTAAGTCAATATCCAAACACATGAAATATATGGAAGTAATAAATTCTTAATGAAAAAAAACAAAATAAGCTGTTATGAAAAAGAAAAAAAACGAAACAGGTTTTAAAACACCTCGGTATAAACCCATTTATGTAAAAATCATACTTCCATAAATTAATGCAGAGAGTTAGCAAAAGAGGTACACCAAGGGACCAGTAGATGGTATAATGGTCATGTCGTTGGACTCCCATATAGTCAGCCACGGTTCAAAGAATGGGCCCAGCAGCAAACTCATGCCAGGCACGTGTGCATGTATGCCCAAACTCCTGAAAGGAGAATGGAGGGGAAGAGACTGAAGCATGGTCATCCCTGCTGGAAAGTGATTCTCTCTTTCGGTCTATTTATTTCTCTGTGTCTCTCCAGCGAGTGCGAGTGCTCATGCAATATAGCAAAAACATCTTTAAAAAAAAAAAAAAAAAAGGAAGTAAACCATAATGATGTACTTCTTCCTGTAAGAAGAATTACAGGCTATTTTTTTTTCCTTTAGAATTTTCAGTATTATTTAAATTTTATACCGCAAACCTTAATATCATCATTATAACGTGAACAGAGAATATTCCATGTCCTAAATAATACTTTTAAAGTACAATATACTCTGTATTCTATTATACTAGTGATTTGCAAACTGAGTGTCTCAAATTTTCGTAAATAAAATTCGGGTGAAATGGCTGCAATTCTGGGAAATCATATACTGTTTATTAGATCTATCAGTTAACTGCTTAATGGATTACTGTGACTATTTCCTCAAGTTTAAACTGGAAAAGATAGTACCACCATCTCACAGCTGTTGTGAAGATCACAGTAATAAATGACCTTAGAACACTTTGCGTGCATAAAGACAGCTATTAATAAAACCTGAAAATATCTATATTCCATAGATGTACAGTATCTAAAGGATTCAGTGAATTAAAGTGAGTGAAAGTGTGCTCATGCAGGGCCTCTACCAGCACGTCCAGAATAAGCATATCTTTGCCTGCCCTACTTACCCTATACAACGATGCTAAGAGGCTCAAGCGAGTTAAACCAACGATGCTAAGAGGCTCAGATTCGTTAAACCATTTTGTAACTGTTAAATATAAAACCTTTAATGATTATAACTGGTATAGATTAAACTATGTCCAGAGTAACAGCACTACGAGCTAATTTTGTTTCAAAGACAGGGGCTCGCCCTTTTCCTCCATTCTCCTCTTGGGATCTTGGGCACACACGCACACGCACCTGGCGTGAGTTTTAAGCCACCGGGTCTGGGACATGAACCGCGGTCAACTATGTGGGAGTCTAGCGACATAGCCATTACGCTAACTGCTGGTTCCCTCAAATTTAAATTTTTAATAAACATACATTTTGACAATTGTACTCTCACCCTCACAACTGCTAGTATAAATTATATTTCCCTAAGTGTTTCCTAAAGAGTCTATGATTAAATTTTGAGACACAGTTTTCATACTTCTCAATATACAAACTTATATCCATGTACCTCTTTCTGTTTTCATACAATTTCTCTTACAATAGGAATCAGATGACCGTCTCCCATGCTAGGGACATTACTTCAAATCAGACAAGACTCTTTTTTTTTTTAAAGACCCTTCTTTTTTAAATTCTTTCCTGTTCTGTCTCATTTCATGGCTTAATGTTTATATGTGAACTTTCTTTATGACACTGATAGAATTTTTACACACATTTTCTAAACAACATTGCTCTGACACAATCAACTCCATACATCTTTTTGATCTTCATTAGTACCCTCACTGACCACCTCTCTGTCAAATTCATCTTTATTTTATGTGGTATCCCCACTAAGTGTGTACGAATCAAATTCTTCATGCTTAAAGGTCCCAGATGCATGAAGTACTAGGGTACTAATCTGTAGGAGCAAAAGGCCGGGCTTGAAACCATCTTCATTAAGAAATCTATTACTGGGGAACCAGCAGTTAGCGTAATGGCTATGTCGCTGGACTCCCGCGTAGTCGACCGCAGTTCGTGGCCCGGACCCGGTGGCTTAAAACTCACGCCGGGCGCGTGTGCGTGCGTGCCGAAGATCCCGAGAGGAGAATGGAGGCGAAGGGATTGCGGCGTGACCATCCCCCCTGGGGGGTGATTTCTCGCTTTCTGTCTCTATGTGTCTCTCTCTGTCTGTCTGGCGAGCGCACGCGCCCTATAGCAAAAACCTCTCAAAAAAAAAAAAGAAATCTATTACTGGGGAACCAGCAGTTAGCGTAATGGCTATGTCGCTGGACTCCCGCGTAGTCGACCGCAGTTCGTGGCCCGGACCCGGTGGCTTAAAACTCACGCCGGGCGCGTGTGCGTGCGTGCCGAAGATCCCGAGAGGAGAATGGAGGCGAAGGGATTGCGGCGTGACCATCCCCCCTGGGGGGTGATTTCTCGCTTTCTGTCTCTATGTGTCTCTCTCTGTCTGTCTGGCGAGCGCACGCGCCCTACAGTGAAAATCGCTCCAAAAAAAAAAAAAGAAATCTATTACTTCCAGTTGATATCTGTCCAATGAATCTAAAAAACATTGTATTTTATACTTCTTTGTAACTGGGTAATTCCATTATGGGATTCTAAGGTCCCTTTTCTGTAATAGAATAGTTTTAAAAGATGGTTGGACAAGGTTTAACTATAGCTTACACAGCCTCTACAGCCTTCAAAGAGAGGGCGTTACCCCTGCTGTTGAGCACCCTTTCTTAAAACCTGTCAAGTTCATTTTCAAAGCTTATATTTGCAGTTTATATTTTCCTAATTTATTTCCTCAAGATTCTTATTTATTCTACAGATTTCGGCTACTCTTGAATCTTAATTATTTGCCCTTCTTTATTTTTATCACAAACTTCCCCACTTACACATAATTTTTAAAAATAATCCCAACTTCCATATTATCTTTCACCCAACTATCTCCTGGCATGTTAAATACAACTCAACCACATTTATTGTTAGTAACATTTAGCTCAAAATCCAACTGTCAAATATCCTTTTCTCCAAATGAATAAAAAATACAAGGGATAAACAAATGTGGAGAGGTGCCATCAGGTGGCATGTTGATCAAGGGCTCTGGACTCCCACATGACCAACCATGGTTTGAGTCCCGGACCTGGTGTTTTGCTTGCTCGCTCGCTCGCTCTCTCTCTCTCTCTCCGCCCCTCTCTGGTCAAATTTAAATAAAGAAAGAAAGTGAAAATAATTCTTTAAAACAAAAAAGATATGGAGATATTTTTGAAGAAACAGGTATTACACAAATATAAAATGAAACATGATTCTATTATAAGCACAAAAGCAAAAGTTATTACAAGCATGCAAAAGAAATGATAAAAGCACAATATCTAAAATCATATTTATTAAAATAAAAGACAACTTTAAACAAAATCATCCCTACTTAGTTTATAGCATGTTAGCATAAACATGTTACCTAGATTTTCTCAAGATTTTTCCTTAGACAAGAATATTTCTTCCTATTTACAACTTTTCTATTTACTGGTTCAGGAATTAGCTTTCTTAAAGGCCTTCTACTGACAGATGAAGTAGTACCTTTCTTTGCTGATGGTTCATCTAGTTGAAGTTCATTTTCATGTAATCTTTTTCTTTCTTTATCAGCTTTAGTGTTGGTGTCCTTAGGTACTTTAACTGTTTCAATACCAGGTAATTGGTTGGTTGTTACTAAAGAAGATGTACCAGCTTCATCCTAAAGCAACAGGAGTTAGAATTAGTATGAGTTAGACTCCCATACAGAGAGTTGCAATAATGTACAAACTATGTAATTTATTTTTCCATAGTGTATCTTTTTTTTTTTTTTTTTTGCAGGACGTGGGCGAGATTGCCGGGGGGGGGGGGGCAGGCGGCAGAAAAAGACAAAGAGAGAGAAGGAACCCTCCCAGTGGGGCATTACCAGCATAATCTTCTTCCCATCATTTCACCTTCCCTTTTGGACTTTGGTCTTAAACATACACCTGTCTTGCATGTTTTATAAGCCACTGGGGCCAGGATTTGAATTGTGATCAGCCACGTGAGTGCATGACCAAAATCCTTTATTCTGAATGCGGGACTGGCCTCCCACATTTTTTAACTTTATTAAACACTTTCTAAATTATTTATTTTTTTAATTTTCAAATTTGCCAGAGGGCAAAAGCTGCAATATGATCTTATTCAGAAAAAATAAAGATAAAACTTAAGCAGTTAAATGTAATCAATCAAAAATATGATAAAGACAGGGGCTAGTAACAATCCCTTTAAAAATAAATAAATAAAAATTAAAAAAAAAAAAAAACTGAGATCGGCAGATGGCGTAATGGTTACGTCACTGAACTCCCACATAGTTGACCACAGTTCAAGTCCCAAACCAGGTGGCTTAAAACTCAGGCTGGGTGCATGTGTGTGCATGCTCAAAATCCCGAGAGGGGAACGGAGAAGGAATTGTGATGTGGCCATTCCCTCTGGGGGGTGAGGGGGTGATTTGTCACTTTCTGTCTATCTGCTTCCACCCGTTTCTCTGAGGAGTACATGTACCCTATAACAAAAACCTCTCTACCAAAAAAAAAAAAAAAAAATCCTGTAGATAAAACAAAAAAACGACCCTTTTACTACATAGAGTCAATAAATGTTATTGCCAAGAGCATTGTGCTCTGCAGTTATCTAAGCACATCTGGGTTCCTTTCTCCTCAGAGGTCTCCGGGCTCTTCCCCGCTGGCCGAGTCTCTGACTTGCAAAGGTTGTGTGTTCCCCGTCTTCTGTGCAAAGCACAACACAGCTTGTGGGACCTCATGTTCAAAGAGGCCAAATGCTCACTTCTAAGTCTTGAAACTTCAATTTGCATAACAGTAATGTGAATTCAATGCCAAGATAAGAAATTCAACATTCTCAGTCTTAGTTGCACAGGCCATTTTAAATTCTTTTACTTTGAACCAAAACATACTTTTTCTAAGTTGTAACACAAGTTAAATTCTTACATTGCCTTTAACTGTGTTTTCCGAATGAAAGTTCAGGTTCTGAAATGTATTGATAGCATCTCCTTTTTGATCAATTATATCTGCCAATTCTTGAATTCGCTGATTCTGCATAATTATTTTCTTTGGAAAAAAGAAAACAATCTTTAGAGAATATATTTTGAGATAACTAGGATACAAACATGATAGTTTTAGAATTCCGTCAATTTTTAAGATTAAATAAAAATAATATTAATACCCTACATAAAACTTTATATATACACAAAGGAAAAAGAAGAAATACAGCATATTAGGTAAGAGGAGTCTGCAGACTCCCAGCTTGTCCACTTGCAGCTGTGTCACTCCTGGCAAGTTATTTAACATCCATAAAAATTAAAAAGAGTAACAGTATCTGGTAAATATTAAGTGTTCTATAAATATATAGAGAGTATAGTCTAAAAGAGCTACCAATCAACTTTTCTTTTTTTAATGTAAGATTATTGGCACTTTTGTTTTCTACTTTATATAATTTAATATAATTTAATCTGTACAACTACTGTCTATTTTCATAGCTAGAAGAAAAATTAAAGATAGGAATGATCTAAATAGTAGCTAAATGTCTTTAGAGTATTATTTTGGTTACTGCTTTAAATACCAGATGTTATAGATACCAAGAACTTGAATTATTTATATCCAATCATATCTTGAAATATTCAGCTCTTTTGAATAATAAACGTAAATAAAATAAGAAGACCCATGCCAGAGAGGACAGTAATAGTACTAGGCTTAGAATTCTAAATTTACTTCATCTTTATAGACACAGGAATTTCAAAAAGTTCATGGAAAAAATAGAATTAGAGTACTTTTATTTTGGTGGAGAAAAACTGAAATCCATGCATAGTCTTTTCACAATACATATTTTCCATGAACCGTTTGAAGATCTTCCGTACATCTGTGCAGCTGACTACTGAACACATGGATTTGAACTCCTCGGGTCCACTTACAAGCAGAATTTTCTTTGTTATTTTTTGGACCTAACACCAAACTTACCATTTTATAAAGACAAGAAATTTTCCCCAAAAGTGAAGAAATAAGAAACAAACTCAGCGTCCATGCATTCTCAAACTGTAGTCTTGAGTCCAAGATCCCCCCTCAGAAGGCATCACTGGTCATATATGGGTTATGGTTCCCTGTGCTGAGTTCCTCATTGCCCCTTTCCTGTGTTTAGGGATGGATTCTGAAGGTGTCTGTGCTGTCCCACAGCTACCCAGCCTTAACTCCACTTGTGTGTCTGTGATCCTAGCTAGGCATGACTCCTGGGTCCCTGTGTTCTTGGTGGATCTCTCAGGCTCCTCTCCTTGCTGTTGTTGCAAAATGATGGCCAACCATCATCTGGAGCTCATTCACTGTGGGTGTGATGCCTGTCATTTTCTTCTGTTGCCATGGAGACCCTGTCAAATGGACTTGAGAAGTGGACTGTGGATCCAGTCTGCACTTATCCTGAGGATGACTGGTCATGGCACAAAGATGAAGAGGTGTGGTGGCGCCTCTGAGTCTCCTCTGCCACACTGGGGTCAAGGTGTGGCTCCAGCAGTGGGACCACGAACTGGATCTTCCAGGACTGCTTCCAGGACTGTGGTCTTGCTCCATGGTTGGGGCAATGGCCACTGGGCAGGTGCAATCATGGGATAGAAGATAAAGATAGCAGGATTTGGAGCTGGGGTGGACACATTGTCTCCCAACTCTGGATCGAGCCAGAGCAGACTCTTCGTAGTTAAGATTTCGAAGAGTCAAAGGTTATATGAAGATGTTTCACTTGAGTTGAGGTGGGGGAGAGGCAGGGATCCAGCACCCATAAACCCTGCATTGTACGAGGTCAACTATCATCTCACTTTCAGATCTACAAATGCCAAATCCATCTACAATCACTTGGGTGATTATCTGCTCTGAAATTGCTAAGACGCTGTATGTCTTTCAGTATAATGCTGAGGACATCTTCCATGTTTTTAGGCACATGGTAATTTCAGAAAAAATAAACACTATTTAAATGACTCTAATCAACACAACACACCTAGTAAAAGAAGGAGATATACCTATCTATGCTGATATACAATTATTTCCAAGATCCCTTTCCATGGAAGAAAGCAAGACACAAAACCATAATTCTATTTGTGTAAACTTTTTAAAGATGTATGTGTGTGTCTTCTATAGATGCCTAAATCTTCTGGAAAGATTGATGAAACTTCCCAGTGGCATCATTGAAAAGAGGTATTAAAAGTGAAGGCAGTAGAAGTACCCAGTAATAAATTATGCCCCTTTATTTACTTAATTAGAAGTTCCTTATCGAGACAAAATAAAGCTTAAAGTTTAAAACATTACCTTATTAGATGACTCAAGCTCCTGAGCCAATGAATCTGATTCTGAGAAAACAGATTATCGAAAGTTAATATTTAAGAACTATAATGAATAAATATGAAACACAAGTTGCTACAGTAGACACTTTGGTGTTACATTCAGGGAAAATGATTTTGACCACATTAGAAGCACACAGCGCTCATCTGCTAATCCACAACACAGGGTATTATTTCCAAAAACACTCTTCCAAAACACAGAGTAGGCTGGGGCCACAACACAGTGGTACTGCACTGCTCAAAAGAAGTTGATCTCATCTGCCAACCACAGTTTGAATCCCCAGTCCTATCTGATTGAAACACACCATGCCTCCATACAAGTGCCTGAGATCTGACAAATTAAAGGACTGGGAGAAGGGTACTGCGGCGTAACCAGACCTTGTGATGGGTACTCCACTCTTTCTCTCTCTCGCCCTCTCCCTGTGTGTGCACACACTCTATCATGAATAAGAAAAATTAAAAAAAAAAAAAAAAAAGGCTATGAATGAGTGACATACTTGTGCATGCCGAAAATCCAGAAAGGAGGGAGAAATGGAGAAGAGACTGAGGTGTGACCATCTCCCATTGGTTGGTACTCTCTTGCTTCTCTCTTCAGCAAGTACACATACCCTCTGGCGAATTTAAAAACAGAAAGGAGGAGCTAGTGCCTTTCTGGTCCACTTCCTAATGCAGAGGCACCAGGAGCCTGTTATTTTTCTACCCATCTTATTTCCCACAAAAAAGGACAGAGAACATTTGTATTTCATCTCACACTCTTAAAAAACAGATGTCACAAAGAATCCTAGATATGCAATGCCGTCAGGGCTAAAATGAAGCATCAATTATCAGGTTACTTTAAACTACTTACACAGAGGTCACTCTATCCTGAACCTGCAAGCTGAAAGCAGAATCTCCCATACTGCAAGTGTTCATAAGGAACACAGAAAGAATAAAATTTACTGCTTTATAATTTACTATGATATTGCTTAATTTACTTAAAAGTGAACAGTTTTGTTGTTTTGTATTTTTCAAAGGTCTTTTTTTTTGTCACATACTTACTTTAATTGGCTAGAGGGTGCATGCACTGGCTAGATAAAGACAGAGAGAGAGAAAATGAAAAAGGACCGCCCCCACCTCCTGGGGAAAGCCATGATACTATGATTTTTCCTCCATTCTCCTCTTGGGATCTTTTGGACATACACTCAGACACTCCTGAAGTGATTCTCAAGCAACCAAGTCTGGGACTTAAACCGTGCCATTAGCCAAATGGGAACCAGCAGCCTTAACCACTACACTGCCAGATGGCCCCAGAGGCCCACTGTCAACTAAACTGGCTGAAAGTAAATGAAGGCCACCTTTTACTGTTGCAGCCACAGACATGAGTATGCTCAGGCTTCAGAAGAGGCTGGCTGCTAGTGTCCTCCACTTTGGCAAAATGAAAGTCTAGTTGCACCCCAATGAGACTAATGAAACTGCCAATGCCAACGTCCATCAGCAGATCCAGAGGCTGATCAAACATAGGCTGATCATCTGCAAGCTGTCTGTTTCCAGGCTCAATGCTGGGAAAACAGCTTGGCCCACCGGAAGGGCAGGTATACGAGCACTGGTAAGTGAAGGGCACAGCCAATGTTAGAGGGCCTTCTCTGGAAAGGAACCTGGATGAAGAGAATGAGGATCCTATGCCGGCTGCTCGGAAGATACTGTGACTCTAAGAATGATCACCACGAGTCACAGCTGTGCCTGAAAGTGAAGGAGCTGTGTTCACAAACAAGTGGACTCTCATGGAGCACAACCACGAGCTGAAGACAAAGCCCTCAAGAAGCTCCTGGCTGACCACGCTGAGACCCACAGGGCTGAAACCAAGAAAGCACGCAAACGCCATGAGAAGCGCCTCCAGGCTGAGGAGGACATCATCAAGACTCTGTCTCAGGAGGAGGAGACCAAGAAATAAACCACCCCCTCCTGTCTGTACACAGTGGCAACAGCAATTACACTGATAATCATTTAAATAAAACAAGCCTTTATCTGCAAAGAATAAAATGTAAATGGAAACCAAATATAAGTTTAGTAGTAAAGTACTATAAAGTCATAGAAATGGTTTATATATATTGTCATTTTGGGGGCCTGCGGGTGGTGTGGTGATAAAGGGAACTGGAGTCCCATATGGCCAACCACAGTTCAAGTTCCAGACCTGGTGGCTTTCTTTCTCACTTTCCCTATCTCTCTCTCTCTTGCACTCTGTCCCTCTCTGGTCAAATTAAAATAAATACATAAAGTTAAGTAAAATAATTCTTTAAAAATATATAGTCACTTAATCAAAGAATTTCTGATCACTATGGTAAACAAGGTACATAATTATCTCATACTTACCAAGTGCACTTTTTAAAAAAAATTTTTTTCTACTGCCCCAATAAGTGTTTACCCCTCAAGGAAAAGAGAGACAGACAGAAGCACTGCCCTAATGGGTATGGAAATGTAATCATTTTTCCTCTACTTCTCCATCTTTTCTGGACTTGGGACACACACACACAAGTATGGTTTTCAAGCCACTAGGGCTGGGACTGGAACCTCAGATAACCATAGCAGATCTGGCTCCCTATGGCCTGCACCTGACCAGCACATCACGGGGCTGCGGGGTTGGCCACAACCCTGTGTGTTATGTATTTATAATACCAAAATGAGAATTAAAAACCATTCACTTACCATTTTCTTTCTTTTCTAACTCTTCTTTGGTTTTGATTAAATCTTCTTTGGTTTTAGCTAATTCAGCTTTAACTTGATTAAATTTTACTTCTAAAGAAGCAATAGCTTCCTGGGGATCAGCAAGAGACACAATACATGAGTGAGCAAATTCGGCCTGTTTCTTAATATCAGTGACATCATCTTGAAGCGAATCAATAATATCTTCAAATCCTACATAATTATGGGCTTCCTAAAAATAGCAAAAACCACATGCCTAATGTTAACATTAGGTACATCGTGGTATCATCTGATTAAATCAGCGTTAAGACAGCAAATAATTAACAACCTTGAAATACTTTAAAGTGAATTATTTAGAAGCGTCCCAATAATAAAAAAAATTATATTCCTTTATTCATTCCATTTATTCATGAAGCATGCTTCCCAAAAAAAGAAAACTCAAATTGTGATGAGTTATTATAGAACAATTATGATTAACTAATTCAGGTAGTTTCAGTTACATAATGAGTCTTTTAAAAAGGCTTTGTTCAGATAATCCACAAAGGTAATCTCCATTTTCACAACCCAGGCTAAGTCCCGAACCATGCCCAGACTACACAATGACTTTCTGGTAGCAGGAACCTCGACTTTACTGTCAGAGACTCCTGAACTGACAGATTAAAAAATAAAACAAAAATGAACAACTGTCTCCCAAAAATCTAATCTATTTCGGTTTCAGTGGAAGGAGATGAAAAAGCTAACTTTTCTTTATGAGTAGTGAATGGTAGTCCCAGCAAGGGCAATCATTTTATAGATAAACTGTTTGGTTTTAATTAGAGCAGTAAATAAAGTACCCGTTAGGTCCCTCACACATTTGAAATTTAATATAAAAATGTTTTAAGTTTAAGACACATCTGAGAGGGGCATTCTATAATCAGAGAAAAAGGAATCAATCTGCCCACAATCAATACAAAAACTTAAGCAATACTGAAATAGGATATAAATGTAATAGAGAGAAGCACTTCCACATTCAATAACTGTATTGAAACTACATGCTTTCATTCCTAGCAAAATATGTCTCATTATTAAAAGGCTACACAGTGCATACTATTTTAATTCTAAAGCATATTAACACTTTTCATCACTGATGTGGTATGCTAGATTACGGTACCAAAATTTCATCAGATTTTTAAAGTATTTCAGCTAACATACTTTAGTTTCAACTTTCATCACACAAACTTCATCTGTTAGTTCTTGAGTGTCGCATTTACCAACCAAATCCTTGAAGATAGCCAAACGACATTCAGCATTTTCTTCTAGGATTTCTCGTTCCTGAAGGAGAGTTTCCCTTCATAATAGAAATTCAGACCATTACAGAACAGAAAAGGTACTACTTTACATTTTTGTTTTAAACTTCTAAGATTAAGTACATAATAGATTTAAATAATCATGCACAGGGATTAATAAGAATTATTTTTAAGTTTATATAAGAAAAGGTCAGAATTCAGAAGTCACCTAATACAAAACTAGTCATTCAATAAGAAAACATTCAATAGGTCCAACCCCACAGACTAGTTGATAGAGGAGACATATCCAACATGGCTGATTATGGTTCAAATCACAGCCCTGACAGCTTGAAAAATATGCCAATATTTGTGTGCGTGCCCATAATTCTGACAGGATAGAGAAATGAAGTCAAGGGACTGCAATGCAACCATACCCCCAGTAGGAGGTGCTTTCTCCCTGTCTGGTGAGCACCTGCTCCCTCTAGCAATTAAAAAAAAAAAAAAAAAAAAATTAAACAGGTGGGGACCAGACAGTGGTGTGGGGGGGTAATAGAAAGCTCTACAGAGCTGACCCACAAAGGAAGGTTCCAGTTTTATGTCAGACAACTTCTTGAGCACACTGGGCACATGTGTGCCTCTAATTGTGGCTTGCTGATGGTAGGGGTGGATCTCACTATGAGGAACCTGCTGGGGCTACCTATCTATCTCCCCTACTCTCTCATTCATGGAAGAAATACACTTATTTTTAAAAATAAACAAGTAAATAAAATTTAAAATTTAATTTTTTGGGGGGAGAGGTTTTTTGCTATAGGGCAGGTGTGCTCACCAGAGACAGAGAGAGAGACAGAGAGACAGAAAGCAAGAATTCACTCTCCAGGGGGAGAAGGCCACGCTGCAATTCCTTCTCCTCCATTCTCCTCTCTGGATGTTGGGCACACACGCACACATGCCTGGTGTGAGTCTAAGCCACCAGGTCTGGGACTTGAACCGTAGTCGACTACATGGGAGTTCAGTGACACAGCCATTATGCCAGCTGCTGGTCCCTAAAATTTAAATTCTTAATTTCTATCATGACATAAAAGAAACAACTTACTTGGGGCCAGCAGGTGGTGCAGTGGTTAAAGGGTTGGACTCCCACATAGTTGACCACGGTTTGATTTCAAACTCAGCGGCTTAAAATTCACGCCAGGCTTGTAAGAGTGCATGTCCAAAATCCCAAGAGGAGAACGGAGAAGGCATTGAGGTCTGGCTATCCCCCCAAGGGGTGATTCCTAGCTCTCTGTCGCTGTCCTTCCAGTGAGTGCACATGCCTTATAACAAAAAATCTTTCAAAAACAAAAAGAGAAATAACTTACTTAAAGTCAGCTTCCCGTTGAGCCAAATATTGAGTAAACTCCTGTGTAACTTCTTCTCTAATTTTGAATTCCAACGTTAACTTTTCTTTCTTTTCATTTATAAGTTTTTTTTTCAAGTCTTCTATTAAATCCAATAGTTTCTAAAACAAGTAAATATTAACACTATGAAAAAGAGAAAACTGATTCTGAGAACTGAAATAGTTAAAAAACAGTCTATGACATGAGGCAGTCCACCGAGCTGGCCTCAAGGAGCTAAGTATATGAAGTCTCAGCTATGTCCCCACAGGCCTTGCTGAAGTAACTAACTGCTCAAGGACACATTATAGCAACACAATTCTTTGATTAGCAACAACTGAAACAAAACTACCCTAAGTTCTCACAAACTGCCGATTGTTCATTGTAGCAGCCCGGTGACCCCACGTAGCAGCCCCGTGGCCCCACCCTGAGCTACGCTGCAGGAAGGTATAAGGTATGAATCATCAGAGACTCAATCAGAAGCCTGTGCTGTTTTGTAAATCTACATGGGTTCTGAAAAGAAAAATGAACTTTTGTAACCCGCCCTTTTCCATTCTCCCTATAAATCTAACCCCTTTCAAGGTCATTTTGATGAACATGGATTCCAGGGAACTGGGATCTCTATTCACCTGGGTGGTTACCCTCATGTTTTGGCTTCAGCAAACTCAGCTTACTTGACAAGTTTGGGTCAGACCTCTTTATTTCAGGTTGACATTCGCAAGAGAAATATTGTCCAATTGTTAAAAAAAAAAATCACTTTTAATTTAGTCATTTAGAATTATGTACCCTCTTAACAGTGATAATAATATTTTCACTGAAAATTATACATTTGCAATAGATTAATTAATCAGGAAGACTTCTCAATATTTTAGAAATAGGCTTAAGTAAATCAAGGGGAAAAAAGTAAAGTAAAATGTGAGCATTTATTATCCATCAGGAACTCCTTTGTAGAATTCCGTATTTCATTTGATTTAATCCACATAATCTTTTGTGAGCTTGGTATCACCCATACTGCTTAGGTGGGGAAAAATTAGATCGTGGTAAATGCTAAGATTGGGTTTGAAATTGACCTATCAAACTCTGAAGACTAATTGTGGTACAGAGAAGTTGGTCGGAACACCCAAACACTTACCAAACTGCCAAAAAGAGATGTTATACAAACTTATCTAAAGAGGCTTTTATAACTATCCAGATGTGAACGACAGCTCCATTCTATGGCCTTTGAAAACACATAGATAATCAGGTAGCACAGGCAAGAGTTAACACAGGGCTGCACTGCAGCCTAGTGGTTAAGGGAGCCAGATCCTACAGGGCAACTGCAATTAAAATGCCAACCTCAGCAGCTTGAAAAATACACCAGGTGCAAGTGCATGGGTTCGCAAAAACCCAATAGGATAGAGAAACAGAGAAGAAGGGATTTGAGACACGACTACACCCCCTTGAGGGGTGCTTTCTCCCTCCCTTCCTCTCTGACCATCTCTCTCTGGCAAGAGCATGTACCCGCTGACGAAACTGAAACATAAAAAGTGCCCCCCCATCTCCTTCCATGCTCACTTCCTCTCATAAAAAATAAAAATAAATAAAAAGCTAATAAAGCAAGCAACACCTAATCATTTCTATACTTGTCAAATATCAGACAAAATTTTGATGGAGTTCTTACTTTAAAATAGCTAATCAATGTTCTAAGATATGCATGTACGTTATGTGTTCCATCATCAACTACAGTGTCAAATATATTTTCCTAGTAAATTCAGAAACTACTAAAATTTCAAGTTTAACAAATATTACATAAGAGTTTCAATTTTAATATGATAAGAACAAACTAAAAGACTATAAATGGTTTTTTGTCACTGAGAGAAACACTACAGTGGCGTAAGTATACAAGGTGCAACTACATAATGACCAGATAAACTGGGACTTACACTGCATATAAACTCATGTTTCCAACAGTATATTCACTCTTGTTTCCAACAATATAGTTGCAATAACAGCTTTCAGAAACACTGAAGTAAATTATCAAAATGAGAGTATTTAGGGGACAGCAGGTAGCATAATGATCAAAGTGCTAGACACTCCTACATGGCCAACCATGGTTTGAGTCCTGGACCTGGTAGCTTGCATTCTTACTTTCCTTCTCTCTCTCTGATTCTCTTTGGTCAAATTTAAATAAATAAATAAATACAATTAAATAAATATTTTTTTTAAAAAACACACACATACACATACATAGACACATATGGCCTACCCAATGGCTTAGTGGTTAAGAGAGGTGGATCCCACATTGCTGACCACATGGTTCGAATCCCAGCTCCAAAAAAAAAAAAAAAAAAAAAAAAAAATCAAAAAACTCTTCAGGCACATGTGCCCAAAATCTTGACAAGATGGAGATCTGGGAAAGGGACTATGGCAATAACCATACTCCACTGGGACTTTTCAAAAATGTCAATACTAGATAATAAATGACTAAAAAAGAAATATAACAAAGGCAATGTGTTAACTTTAGTTGTCGATGAAAACAAAGTAGCTATAAATATAATATAGGAACCACTGGAAAAATTCTATATAGGTGGTATATATGATTACTGTTATCAATGTTAAATTTCTTAGAATAAAAATAGCACTGTGATCATGAGGAAAAAGTCTATGTTCTTGGGAAGTACATGCTGAAATATTTTGTTATGTGGTATCATTAGGTCTGCACCTTGTTTCCAACGTACAAAAATGTGTGTTTCCATATTCATAAAATAACAACTTGCAAATCAAAGTGAAAAATAAATGAATGTTCTTTGTACTAAATTTCCTACAGGTTTGAAGTTTTTTGAAATATAAAGTCAAGAAAGATCTTCAAGTACTTTTTTTAAATGGAAGACAGGCAGCCTTAAGAACTATTAACTGTAGTGTTAGGATGACAAGTTAGCCAAGCATAAAAGCATAAGTTCTCAAGACATACTTTTTTCTCCTCGTGGCTAATGGAAGCCTTATCTCCCTCTAATGTTTTCTCTTCATTTATAAGTTCAGTTTCCACATTTTGGTTTTCTTCAGCTTCTTCTAAATCTTCAGTCAAATCTTCATCCTCCACCAGATCTTCCAGACTATTTTCCCATGAAATGGTATCTCTTTTTACATGTAATATTTTATTAGCTGAATTACTGTCTAATGATACATCTTCAGAAGATTTAACAGGTCCAAATGTTTTCTCTTGAGAAGAATTTAAAGTGTCTGGAACATATACCTGTTAAAATTCCCAATGTGACTTTAAAAAAAAAACAGAGACAAGCAACAATTGTCCACTAAAAAATAATTTTATAAATTTATGTTAAATGACAGCTTGAGGATTCAAAGAAATACTAAGCAAACAAACATACAAAAAAGAATTAGGGCCAGATGGCAGTGCAACAGTAAAATGTGATGCTCTGTGAGAAAGGCCCACGTGGGAAAGTTCTGGGTTTGTGTCAGAAATACAAGTGCCGAATTCACCAGGAATAGTGCACCCATAACCAAGAGCTGGCAGAATCTGTGATGGATCACAGTTGGGAGCATGGTCTCTGACTCTGTCTCTCGCTCAATAAAGAAAGAAAGAAAGGAATTAGTATCCTTAAATGTATGTTCTGTTAAGAGAAAAGTTATAGGCCAATCCTTGGCCTAGTGGTTCAGGGAAGCTGGATACCTGATTCAAATCCCCACCGAGCAGCTTGAAGATACCAGGCAAGTGTGAGTGAGGGTGTATCCCAAATCCCAAAAGTATAAAAAATTGGAGAAGGGATTGTGGTATGACCACACTTAATTGGAGTGAATGGTTTTTATCCTATTTCTCTGTCTCTCTGGTGAGTACTTATGACCTCAAGAGATTAAATAAAATGGAAAAAAGAAAAAAATGTACCTCTACATATGAACTCCAGGTTCAGTCTACCTTCCTGTGATGGGTTCTGAGTATTATTCCCAGCAAGGGCTTCCCAACCACCCAGAAGAACTAAATGAACTGGATGGATGGCAGAGCAACAGTTCATTCCAAGATCATTTATTAATTTGCAAACTATGCTTACTTTTTATTCATTCATTCATTCATTCAATTAATGAGAAAGAAGATAAGAGGGAGGGAGACATATCCCCAACAGAGTTTTCACACTGTGATCGACTCCCCATCTTAGCCACCTGGATCACTGGTATGCACATGTATGCCCAGTGTGCTTAGGGAGGTTCTCCAGGACGGGCGGGAACGCTGGACATTCCCCACGTGGGTCTACTTGTATTCTTGCCTGTACCTAGCCCCAAACTGAAGTTTAGTACTATCACTTTTCACTAAAGGTCATTTTAACGCTAGCAGGGACAACTGTGGATCTTTTCCCATGTCCTTCTACTTGGTCAAACATTTACATTTCTCATTTTAGTTATATCCTAGACTTATAATATTAAGTGTAAAATATCAAACCTTTCAAGAAAAATTATAAATATTTTAATAATAAAAAGTATTAAGATAAGTTTGAATATATTTACTTTTTGTGCAATGGCTGAGAACTTCAATACATTGAGTGTTTCATCATAGGCAAAACAACACTGGCTGATGTTGACAATCATACATATTTTTCCTTTACCATTAAAAAAACTTTGAAAATAGTGAGTCAGTTTACTTTCCCGGAAAGGCACATGCTGTTGAAACCTATGGGAAAAATGTTCAAAAACGTGCAAATTAAAACAAATTTTATAAAGCACGATGCTAATAAATGTTATAAAGAAATAATCAATCCATTTATCATGGACTTAAAACTTTAGGTTAGTGATTATTTTTACCTGTAATATTCCTTCTCTGTTTATCTACTGTCTTTAAGTACTACTACTAACAATAATACTAACAATAACTCACTAGGCAGAATGTAAAGAAAATCGTATTTATCAGGGTTGCCCTAGTATAGAGCAACTGTACAACAGATGTCATGAAACACCTCCATAAATGATGAAGGCTGATTTATCACTTATCCAGTCTGTAATGTTAATTAATGCAAAAAAAAAAAATCAATGCCATCCAAAAATCACACATAATATGTTAGTAAGAATACAGTGATTTTAGATGCTAATCAGCATCATGATAAATTTATTGTCTAAAGTGTCTATTGGTATAAATCTGGGAAATACTGTTTACTTGATTTAGTGGCACCAAGTTGACTGTATTTTCTATCTTTTTTTAATCTAAGTTCTCAAAATACTTTAATCACAGTCCATAGAGTCATTACATAAGAAGCAAGTTAAAAATTAAAAAAAAAAACTTACCTAAAAACAACAAAACTGAAAGCTTAAATATTTTAATACTCAATAGGCTAAATACACTCTGAACAACACTTACTTTGACTTTTCACTATTCTTCAAGACATTAATACACTTTCCCAGAGTCAATAAAGAAGTATTGATATTCCCAGTCTCTCTTAACCTTTCACCTTCATTCTGTGTCTTTATGCTTCGTTCTGAACCAGCAAGATCACATAAAGACAATCTGAGTTTAAAAGAAAAGAAAAAGATTACTTCAAAAGTCCTTCAAAATAAATATAGATAATTACAATAGGAAGAAAGTTCAACTTACTCACTGACTCGAAGTACACGAGACATTTCAGAATCTTCGATCTGTAATATTCTAATAGTGAAAACGCTGTGACTGAAACATACCAAGATAAAATGTTATCTTTTCACTTTTAACGTCTGTACCTGAGTAGTATAAAAACACCTAAACTGACCCCTGCTTATACGCAGTATTAGCTATAGTTTACCGCTGTATTTTCTCTTAGCTGCCAGATATTTCAACCCACTGTTCCACTGTTACCAACATACCCAACTGCCTAAACTCTTATTTTTGCTTTGCCCCAAATCTCTCAAATCTTTTCCTCCTGACATTCTATATTAACAAAATTATTTATAATAAAGTCTCAAATTGAAAAGGTCAAATATAGTTACAATGATATTATATACACCAAAAATTCTTTAAACATGCACTAAAAGCAAAGCATACATGTGGCCTATATATAGGCTCATCTGTATCAAGTATCGTCTCCATGCCCAAAATGAGTATGGGGACTGTGAAATATCTCACTCTTGGGTAGGCCCCATGGACTAAAGATTAAGGGAGCCAGATCCCACCTGGCAGACCAGACAGTTTCGATCCTAGCCAGCAGCTTGAAAAACACACCAGGAACATGTGGGGGTGTGTCCCAAACCTAACAAGTTGGAGATATGGAGCAGAAGGAACTGCAGCATGACCATGCCCCACTGACAGGTGGTTCTTCCTTCTCCCTCTCTCTGTCTTTCTCACTTTCTCTGCCAAGTGCATATACCCTCTGGCTTATAAACAAACAAAAATAAATAAGTAAATATCTCATTGTTTACCCTTATTTCCTTTGTCTCCTATTCCCCATTTCTTTGATCAAAAATGCCATTTCTTAACCCTGTGAGATTATAGCCTAATTCAGTACATACATGGTATTCACAAGGGATATGGGGAAAGACACAGAAAGCAGGCCAGTCTTAGGCCCAGTCAAGGTGGAACACATTGCTAACATGCTATGCTTCACAAGTTAGGACCACATGAGAAATCCAGCTTCAAGTCCTGGTCCAGCCTAAAGGCAGTGCACAGTGGCATATGTCTGTCGTTCCTACAACTCAGGGAGACTGATGCAGAACTGAGAACATGAAACTAACCTGGACAAGAGAGAGACCCTGTCAAAAAAGAGGCTAGCATAGTGGCATGCATCTTCAGTCCTAGCTGAGAGGCTAATGCAGGGGATCAGACAATGAGATACTGTCAAAGGGAAAGGAGAAAAACAAAAAAGGAAAAGGGGAAAGAAAGTGAAAAGGTGAAGGGACCAGCAGTTGGCGTAATGGCTATGTCACTGAACTCCCATGTAGTCAACTGCAGTTCAAGTCCCAGATCCGGTGGCTTAAACTCACGCAGGGTATAAGATCCCAAGAAGAGAATAGAGGAGAAAGGATTGCGGCATGGCCATACCCCCTGGGGGGTGATTTCTTGTTTTCTGTCTCTCTGTCTCTCTCTGTCTTTTTGCTGAGTGCATGCTCCCTACAGCAAAACCACTCTAAAAGAAAAAAAGAAAGTGGCAAACTGGATCGAGCCGGCCAGTAGTTCTGGACACCAGGCGGACTGAGGCTGCAGGCCCGAGCCCCACCCCCTGAACCTTTGTGCATCCCCACCGTTCCTCCTCTTTGGACCTCAGGTTGGTGGTCTTAGACTTTAAGACAACTCCCACCCCACCCCACCCGCAAACTGGATCGAGCCGGCCAGTAGTTCCGGACACTAGGTGGACTGAGGCTGCAGGCCCAACGCCCCCCCACAACTTTCGCGCATCCCCACCGTTCCTCCTCCTTGGACACCAGGTTGGTTGTCTTGGACTTTAGGACGAACTCCCACCCCACCCCACCCGCAAACTGGATTGAGCTGGCCAGTAGTTCCAGGTACCAGGCAGACTGAGGCTGAAGGCCCGACCAACCTGGTCCTGTTACTCATCCTCTGGCCCTTTCCTGCTAGCCTTTGGACTGTCTGAATTTTTGTGATTTGAATAGCGCCGCATGATTTTCTTTATTTGTTTTTCTTTGCTACTGAGGTGTTGCTTATTAGGTCAGTTGGAGGTTCACCACTATTTAGAAACAGGGAGGACTTTGGGCCATCCAGGACTAGTTGCAACAGTTAATGGTAATTATGAGCAACAGATAGGCCAACCATAATAGAAATCATCAAATTTCTAATCCTATACAAGTTTTAACACTCAGAGTTACCTTACATAAGTTAGGAAGCAACATATAGAGTACCTGATGACTAGAACAATCGCAGAGGCTCAAGAAATATGAGCAACCAACAAAAGGCCTCTGCCTCAAGGGAAATCATCAAGCCTACATCACCCACAGTCAATACAATGGATGTAGTGGGCATGTCTGATAAGGAATTCAGAATATTTGTAGTGACCAAACTAA